CTCCGCCCCCACCCGCCCATGCTCCGCGCCCAGCCCGACCAGCCCCGCCCTGACTCCTCTCCCACAACGGCCCCGCCCCCGAGGGGGCCGGACTGCTGCGGCGCCTCGGGCTTGGGCGCAAACGCGCACGAGGCGCTTCTGCGCGTCCCCGGCCGCTCTCCGCGCCGACACCCGTCCGAGGCTGGGGCGGTGTCCGTGGGCGCGGGAAGAAACGGTTTCCTGTCAGCAGTTACCAGGCAGAAGCGCACGCAATCCTCTCGACGCCTCTGGCCGCGCAGAGGCAGTTCCCCGGGGAAGAATGCGTTCCCACCCCTCCAGCGGCCGCCTCGAGCGGCGCACGCGGCATCCCGCAGGCAGTCCCAATTTAACTCGAGCCCGGGCGAGGTTCTGAGCCGCCGCCCGCCGCCCGCGGGCTCGCCAGCCGCGCAGGGCCGCCGGACGCACTCGCGGAGAACGGCCTCCTGGCGGGAAGAGCGCAACGGGGGAGGCCTGGGCGGGGAGATCGCGGGACTGCCGAGGACTCTTCCCGGGTCAGCGTTCCTGGCGTTGCCTCTTCCCTTTGCAGCTAAGAACGAGTGCCACGCGTCCAGGACGGACGGGTGTCAGCATTTCTGCCGCCCGGGGAAGGAGTCCTACGCGTGCAGCTGTGCGCAGGGCTACAGGCTGGGCCCCGACCGCAAGGCCTGCGTCCCCCACGGTGAGCTCGGAGGCTCGGGAAGCAGGCGGCGGGCGGGCCTCCACCCCAGCTCGCCGGGTGGCCCGGGCGGCGGGGCTGGACCGCGAGCGGGCAGCCGGGTTCGCTCTGCCCGGCCTCTCCGCGCGCCTTCGGGGAGCCTGCGCCAGGCAGCGAGGGTGCTGACTCTCCTTCCCCTGCGCCTCCCGCGAAGAGAGGTGCGCGTGTGGAGCGCCCAGCCCCGAGGGCATCACCGCCCCGCTGGGGGGCCGGCGGCCTCTTCAGGCGTTCCCGTGGCAGGTAACGGACAGCTGTATACGTTTCATTTTGCGTCACAGTTTCCACCTTGTCTGTCATGCCCATCTTCGCCGCATAGACACGTAATGGCTGGTGATCTGGGCTAACCTCCCAGCGCTTCCTAACGCCGGCCACTCTGGCGTTTACTTCTGCATCAGCTGCAAATGCGCACAGCAGGCCTCCTGTCCGCAGGGCATGCACCCCAAGGCCCTGGCGGGGCCTGACCCTGTGGGTAGCGACCCCCTCGCCCCCCGAGGCTGTTGTTTCTCCTGCCCGTACACACCCAGGGTGAGGTGCCATGAACCAGGCACAGGCTGAGATCAACAACGACAGGAAGCCCTGACAGTGGCCGTGATGGAAGTCACACGGGTGTGGGCGCCCCTCTCCCAGC